AACCAATTAACCCTAGGGCCCATGTTAAATTTCCAAAAGTTTAAATTTACGTATGGAAAAGCCCTGTGATCCGATTTATATGATTTCAGATTTATACCTTCCCATGGTTAGCTACTATGACTGTGCTGAATTTCGTGCGGATCGCTTGAGCCGTTCAGGAGGAGTATTTGTACAACAAAAGCAGGAGTGTAGTATAAGAGCTTCGCTTCGCTCCGCTCAATAATACTGTGTAGTTCTAGATCTAAAAAAAAAAACAACATTGCATGCACAAATTATTCCAATAAACTAAAACAATTTCAAGCTTTTGTCGTATTTCCGAACTGCCCAAAAAATATTTCAGTATTGTTATCAGTTTAGTTAACGTTTTCAACATAATAAATTTAAACAAAAACGCTATTTTAGTAGGTATATCATTATTAGGTCTTATTTCAGACAGGCTATTAGTTCTCTATATCAATAACCCAAAAATCTAACCAATTTTCATGAGTCCTAATGGTAAAGAACACATTTCTGAAAAGTTAATAGTACCGGTATATTTCATAACTGTCCTAGTTTTATAGGCCCTCTAAAGGGAATAATTTCGACAAAAAAACCCGAAAATGGCTGAGGGTTGAAAAGACACTTTTTTACGGTGTGATGCACTATATTTTTAGTCATACTTCACCGTTATTTAAACAAACTATGTTACAAAACTAAAATAGTATTCATTTATAAAATAACCTTCAAAAACTACCTAACTTGTTTTCAATTTAGTTTGGTAATGAAAACAAGCAGCTGTTTAGTAAGTGATTCAATCATTACTAAATCGATCATTGATTGTGTCAGTGTACATTATACTATCGATATGTCGAAGTATTTACAATAAGATAATCATTAACTACAATCAATTAAATTATTATACCTATATTGAATACATGCAATTGTTTTCAATCAAAATTTACAAATGAGTTGACAACAGATGATTTTTACTCCCCAGGGGAGTAAAAATTCTACTTTAGACCCGCAACACATGCAAAAATGGCTGTTTTGCTGCAGTATGACAAAAATGTATTTAAATAGTAAGGATATATAAAGACAATCGTTTCTTTCTTCACTACCATTGATTTACAGTGTTTAAGCAGCTTTGTGTGCGATAAGAGATCGAGGTTGAGAACTCAAACAAATGGCGAAGAAAGACAAAATACTGACAATTTGTTCCTTTATCTATTCAGAAGGTTTTACACAATGAAGGTCTGTTTGGTAATGTAGTGAGTACTTCCTTCAGTTCTAAAAGTATTGATAAAAGGTTTGTTCACAATGAAAAAACTTGGATTTACTAAATGAATTTAAAATATTTTCAGTTATAGACCGTCAATTTGAATTGTTTCACTAACACTTAATTAGCAAATATAATTAATAACTTGATGGTTTGGTTTTGAAGTATTATTTCTGTGTTTGCAATAAATTTCAATTTACCGTCTAGTTGGAGGTTTGACGCATTATAGGTTCATTTGTGTATAAAACAAATAAAATATTTTTATTAGGTAGCTTTTGGGGTTTTATGTATCTTGAGGTTTATTTTTTTATATTTTTTATTACACATACGTTGATACATGCAGATTGTAAATTTCCCATTGGCTTTAGTTATTGTATTAATTTGGTTTAATATTGAAAGTTTATCTAAGAAACCCGCAACATTAGACAGCATGTTTCCTATACTTCATTAGAAATGAAGATAGTATATAACCCTTTTTAGCGAATTTCGCATATAGGGAATAAGATATTACCGTAGGTCACATGGTAAAACCTAGATCCGGGACCGATTTACTTTTTCATTTTGAGGTCCTAAGAGGCCAAAAACACCATCCGTTCAAATTCATATATGAGTAAATGGAAATTCGCTTAATATACAGGTTTTCTGTGACGGGGGTATTTAAGTATCCACTGAAAGAGATAAATAACGTACTCTACTTAAATCGTAAAATAAGACCTTAGTATATACCATTTTTTAAGTATCCACTGAAAGAAAAAAAACTGACTCTACTTAGATCATACAATAAGACCTTATCCGCCTTACAGCTCTCTACCTAAAGCTAAAAGCCACTTTCTTTTGGAGGTTAGTTAATAGAGGACACGTAAACAGATACTACAAACCATCATCCAGTTAATGGAAGTCGACCATTCTTCTAGGGATGGTTATATTTCTTTTCGAGGTCGGAATAGCTTCTTATTAATTTTAGACTTTGTTAAAAACTTCGTAGAAGTGTACAAGACTTGTACAAAAGAAGTGGTTATTCGACTTTTTACTGGAGTATGGTAGGTAGGTATAGATTGAAAATTAAGTTGGTGCAGACAAATAATCTATTTTGAGAGTATGGGAGTCTAAAATTATGAAACTCGTGGTCAACGAGTGCTGTATTATATGACCTACAAAATTACTGGCCTTTACTACTAAATGGAGCTGGACTTCACAGCTAGCCGTATCGTGTAGTAAGTTGTATAAAAGGATGTCATTATACATACTGTATCTATTTTACTTCATTGATTAGTACATTTCCCCCTTAACAACGCAAGTGGACCATATCATTATTTATATATTTTATTCGAATAAGAAGTATTTCCTTGCGATTGACAATGAACCTCAAACTATATTTTTTTTAAAGCTGATCAAGAAAAGAATCGTGTTTATTTTATACATTTCTGAAATTTCCTGTTTCAAATATAGTATTGAAAGCGATAAAGGTAATTTACAACTACATTTGTAGCTTTTTTTAGTCCCAATTAGCATTTAACATGAGTTAATATTGAAAGTTCTCTAAAAAATGTTCACATACTTTACCAACCGTCACAATACATGTACAAATTTAGTCCATTGCTGTTCTCAGTTAGTTTGGTTGACAAAAAATCATTTAAATAGTTTACATTTTGAAAAATAAGCTTGTTTTAACAAATTTGCATTTTAATATACAAAAGAATTTATTTTAGCCCCAAAACTTACTTTGAGATTAACATAGCTACATATAACTAGTGATTTGTTACAGCCTAACCATCTAGTTATTCTGCTAGTATAGAATGAAACAGTAAAATTGAATACAATATGCACGATCTTATTATTAAAAAGTTTTACCTTGGAACAGCTAATGTTAAAAAATCATCGGTACTTAGATTTTTATAATACTACATATTTATTACTAAAACTTACATTGTTCTGTTTGTTTTTTTTCTAAATTTATATCTTCATGTTGATAATTATCTTTCTAAAGGCTAGACAACACACACATGATACCGTAGTTTATTAAGTTATTTAGTATAGTATGATGGTTGTATAGTATATCCTTTAGACGTCCATCTATTAATAGTGATCACTTTGATCTTTGTAGTGAACGTTACATCGCAGACCAAACATAATGGATGCCGTTCTATACATTAATTCACTACCTAAGCCTGTGTGCATTATCAATAGTGATTCTCCAAGTAAAACAGAAATAGTGAGTAATTAATTCAATGCAATAAAACCTTATATCCAGACTGATATGATGATGTAAGCAATTATGATGAGACATTTTAGCATTTTATTATTTCAAAGATAAACTAGATCTGAAAATTTTAATTTAATATTGTTATTTGGAACAGTTATTACATGGGTATTACAAATAACAATTTTAAGTATCATAACATGAAAAATTACTGTAACCAAAAGGACATCAATCGATTTATCTGCCTGAAAATTTTTAAATAATCGTCCTCCATTTTCAAATGCAAACGTGATAAATGGAAAAACAAGTACACAAATATATTACATCGCAAGTGTTTTTCATTAAATAAGAATTGGCTTATCATAGGAGCATTTAGTTTAAATGTAAAATATGTCTTTTTCTTTGTGAATATACATTGTTTCACGTATATGGGTAATTTTATTAATTATGTTTTTGTTCTAAAAGTTTCAGAATTACTTAATATTGAAATCTGAATTTTTTGTGTTTTAAAATGTTGATAGCCTATTACATTTATTATTTAGCACAACTACATTTTACGAATACCGAAGCTAGCTGGGATAAAATTAAAACAAAGTAAAATATTCTTTCAATATGTGTTATAGGTTAGAACAAAGCTAACAAAAGAGAATAATCGTGTTTAAGGGAAACTGTAAATAAAACTGACTCCGATAGAGAGGAAAGGTTCTACAGTGTCAACCACAATTTGCATGAAGCCAGGAAGCCATTTCACCACCTTTCTTTATCTTCCTGGTTGATTTAGTTATCCTCTTTTGGTAATTAATCTTCTTTTATAATTTATAATCATTAGAAGAATTTAATAAAATTCAAACCTAGACCAAATCAGATTTAACACAAATGTATTCTGGTTTTAATTTATATTTCCAAAAGACAGCTAGTACTTTGAGGATATTCTTGCAAAACATGCAGATCTGAAAATAATCTTTGATTTTGATACGAATTCTTCTAATTCTGACATTCCCTTTTAATGGGGGATTTAAGGGCTTTTCTTAACAATATATGAGTCACCTGAAATTGAGAATGGATTACAATTACAAACATATTGCCTAGAGCGAGGCTTTTGATGTTCAGTTTCTGATGTCTCTAATCATGTTATAACCTGTGAGAGGGTCACATCTCTCTTCCTTGATTGATATTTCAGTATTTGTAATTCAGTAATTGATATCTCAGTAAGGTAAATAGGAAGGATTTATACTGTTCGTAGTTGTAGTTTACTTTCTAAACACTACGCATCTGGTGTTTCTTTTTTATTTTTATTTTATTTTGCAACTGTTTTTAGTTTGAATATTTTCCTCGATAATTATCCTCTTTCAAAATACATTATTTTATAATATATTCTACAGGAAATTAGTTAACACATTCAAGACCATGAAACACAATAATCCTTATACACAAAGACAAGGTATGGTCAGTGCTATTGAGCTACAACTAAATCTTTCAACCCCCATGTCTTTTTTTCAATTCTTTAAACTACTACATTATGTCTAAATACACAACTATTAGAAGCATAGAGGACGATAATTTATTCGATGGGACATGACAAAAAGGAAATTCGACAAAATATAATTATTGCGATGGCTGATCCAACGGCTCTGGAGGATTGTTGGAAGACTCTCCAGCTTGATCTTGAGGAACAGATGATTCTTCGTGTTTGCGACCTCGACGTCTGCGCGTGCTTCTACGAGACCTGCGTCTTCTACGAGCCATAGTGAGATCATCTAGGTCATCTCTCCTCCTAGCACGTCGTGTAGACCTCTTACGGCGACGACGAGCCATGGTGAGATCATCTAGGTCATCTCTCCTCCTAGCGCGTCGTGTAGATCTCTTACGGCGACGACGAGCCATGGTAAGTTCGTCGGAGTCATCTCGCCTCCTAGCGTGTCTTGTAGATCTCTTACGGCGACGACGAGCCATGATGAGTTCATCGTAGTCATCTCGCCTCCTAGCGCGTCGTGTGGATCTCTTCCGGCGTCGACGAGCCATAGTGAGATCGTCGGAATCATCACTGCGACGTCTTATAGACCTACGTCTTCTTCGAGCCTGGATAATGCTATTCCTCCGGAGTCTTTTGCTAATAGACCTTCTCCTGCGTCGAGCCTCTATCAGTTCACTGTCTGCTTCACGTTTCCGTCCCGTTTGTTTACGGCTTCCCCTTTTGTACCGATATCTTTGTTGTCTGCGACCGCGGGCTACGACTACCTCATCGTTGTCGTCGTGACGTCTACCTCTTCGACGCTTTAGTGAACGTTTCCGTCTCCTACGCGCCTCCAAGAGTGTGTCCTCGTTCAGTGCAGGGTAGAAGCGGTTGTGTCTGACGGTCAAGAATCCCTCTTCTACTGCTAGTTTCAAAGACTTCTTATAGTCCGGGAGAGTTTTGAGGCCGTAGTTGTGACGTAGAAAGTCAGCGACATCTGAGACGCTTACTCCTTTCTTCTTATCGAGGTACATCACCGCTGTCACGACAGGACCTAATTTTGCTCTCATTTTGTCCAAAATTTGAATTTTCTCGCAGCTAATTTTGATACACCTTTTCTATGAAGATTAATTTAAAAGTGAACTGTTGCTATGCAACATATTTTTTATTACGATATAAGTGGTTTAAGTATTTTATGCAGTCCAAATGGTTGCGGAGCAACTAGTTTTGGTTCAACACCGGAACCGTCATCAGGGTTCACAATAAGATTGTCGCTTCTTGAGAAGGTCGTCACTGTTCACAAAAAAAATATTTGTAGTTAAGGATAATTCTGTTTCGACATCGAATAGATACGACGCAACCGTCAAGAGTTTACGTATAGATTATTTTTTAACTATTTAACAGATTCAGTACCATGAGACACAAGACTTCTCATACAGAGTGTGACGACTGGTAGGAAACGTGTTAAATCTAATCTATAATTATTATTATGTAATGCATTACCAATAACAGTAAATAATTTGAAAAATAAAAAAGTCATATATAGAGAGACACACATTTAGTCAAACTTTTTTTAAGTTTTGTATCCTATTTTAAGAGGCACATAGGCATCGTCCAAGGCTTTTGAAGAGGCAAGTTTCGACTTTTGGAAATAAACATAAAATTTACTTTGAACTAAAAATAGATACCACTCAGTCTTCGCAACGTTTGTTTACGTTTTCCAATCGATTAGTTTACAGTCACGCAACTAAATAAATGAGTAAGACTAAATTACTTGCGTTATCCCGTTACAGCCCTACTAAATATGTTAATTGAGGACATATTTCGTGGTTAAAACATCATCTTCAGCTTCAGGTCCTTGTAGAGTTGATCAGTTGTTAACATCATCAAAAATGTTATCAAAGCACGTCACGAACCAAATTACGATAAAATAAAACTGGCATATTTTGTTGAGCTGTGACAGGATTACGTAAGTAGTTTAGTTTTCCATTATATCCAGCAGCTCAGGGGCTATAAACATGGATTTCAATTAAATAAATTTATAAACATACATTAACAAATCGAATTGAACTTTACAAATCGAACTAACTACACATCACATATAACTAAAACGTTTTTAAGCCCTAAAACACAATTAATTCATTGGTTTTGTATTATCTATCATTTGATATTAATGATTTCCTTGATCATTTACTGTAAATAATCTTTACCTAAACCGCCATGTTAAACTTCCCTATCCAAAGCGTGATGTATACAACTTCTTTACTTCGCGAGTGATGTAAAGTTTAGAAAAACTCACTCGGTGAAGTAATGAAACCCATTTAAATAACATTGAGTGCTTAACTTAAAAAAACCTCTATGGAGCCAACGACGTTCAACGCTAGAAATCAGCTGTGCGCTTGAATGTTATTGTAATGTTTTAAGTATTTCCTAACCTAGCTTTTGTTTGTAAAAGAACGTTACTGTTAGAAGATGAGTGAAATGGATAATAAAGAATATTGTATGTAACCCCCTGTTTATTGTTGGGTCAGGTAAAATCTTGTACGTTACACGTTACGCAAGAGCGTGTTTACATCACTTAGGTAAATTATTCACAACATTCACCTGCGTGATGTAAAAACGCTCTTACTACACTTGTAATGTAAATAGCTAATTTCCATTAGCTATATTCAATATAATATAAAATTATAATATTCAATATAAAATTGCCATTCCCGACAAACAGTCCTTTAACTTATTTCTTAATACAACTTTAGCTTCATTTGACTCTATTAACTAGACTTTGATGTTCAACGTTTTATGGTTAAATGGATGTCCTCTTGATTTTATAACTGTGGTATCTTTGCGTTTGACCACTCTTTCGTAAATTACCTTCCCGTACGTAATTATAGGTGAGGGTAGTTAAGTAATCTTAATTTACTGCCTAATAACCCTACTTATTTTATAGTAGTAATAAGCACCTCACAGTGCTAGAGTCAACAGTTATATTACGAGCCAGAGGTTATGTGTTTTTTTAAGCATGGACTTTTTTGAATACTCAAGTTGACCAGTGTTTTGTTTAGTTTTTAAAGGTATCATTTTAGTATGTAAATGTTTGTACGATTACATACGTCTGACCTGCATTTTTATTTAAACCAATATTTAACATTAGAGCATTTCTTTTACAAAAAAAATCTTGGAACCTAATGTCTTCCCGAAGGTAACATTATATGGCAGACGTGCCATTCCTACTTATTTATTCGAAAGTATTAAATTTTAGTCTGCACAATCGCTCTAGTTATGGTACTTTTAGAAGTTTTTGTGGAAAAACAGTTATAATTAGTTGTGCCTAATCATAAATCAGGCTGACAATTATGTATAAAAATATGAGACGTTGTGTAGCTTAACATATACCTAACTTTACTATCTCCGTTGTAATTAGAAATTTTCATTTTGTAGAATTAACGTGAATACTGCAAATACTCCCTTGAAAAACTTAATGTCTGATAAAACATGAATCAACGTCAAAATAAAAGTGTAACGTATTTCATTATTTAATTCTTGTTACCTTGTTATCAACCGTATTGGATTCTAATCCCTAAGGGAAGAAGAAAATAATAATGAATGCTCTTTTTTAATCTCTGTCCCCGCTTCAGGCTCTTCGTTGAAAATATCAACTGTTTAAGCTGCTTCTTCATTTCGTTAAACTGGGTTAGTTTTGATTAGAAATTTAAACTACTTTATTAATAAAAAAGAGTTTCCCGAGTTATTACCTTTTTATAAATAAATTTACAAATACAATATTATTTATATCTAATGAAACTTGTATTTAATTTTTGTTTTCACGACGCTATACACGAGCCCGGGATTTTTTCGCATTACTTCAGGCAAGACCTAGGGGTTTTTTTTTCCTAGGACGCTAGGCATGAGCCTGGGATTGTTTTTAACATTACTTCAGGCTAGACCTAGGGGTTGCGGCATTATCACTTAGATAAAATCCATTGGTGACTTGGCGGGGATTGAACCCGGGACCTCAGGGACTGAAGTCCCACGCTCTAACCACTACGCCAGCTCGTTCCCCAAGACCTAGGGGTTGTGGCCCACTAAGATAAAATCCCTTGGTGATTTGGCGGGATTCGAACTCGGGACCTCAGGGGCCGAGGTCCTGCGCTTTAACCACTAGTCCAGCTCGCTCCCCAATTTATTGAAGATATTGTATTACGTATATACCTATCACATAAAGCTAAATGTATTTTCTAAAAAAATATTATCATCATGCTTATTGCTATAAAACGTTATTCCATTTTCATGGATCTACTATCGTGTTTTTTCCATAAATCCCATTGTATCTTGCAGTATTTGTCTTCCATTTGTCGTATACATGTTTTAAAAACTGATACAGTTTTAACGAACGATAGCTTAAATAAATAAAACAATTTAATTTTAGCATGTTGTTAGAGTAAGAAATTCTAGATATTGCATTCGAAAAAAATGTATAGGTAATTGGATTGATTAAAAAGTCACGAACCATTGAATATTCAATTTATTTTGTCTGCAGTGAAATAGCAAACAAGTAGAAAGCACTTGAGTTTGCATAGAATCATATCATTAATAATCACATTCAAATCGTAACATGGGTTTCAAGTGTTAAAAGTGTAAAATTATTTGTAAGCCTATTATTTTTGCAATTAGATCCAGTGAATAAAAACATCATATTGTAACATGTAATAAACTAAAATTTGCATCTGGTGGTAATTTAGTAGTCTTTTGAAGCTAGGTTCGTACCATTTTTATTATATTGATAGTTTTATATTTGCTTAACATAATATATCAAGTATTATAATCTGTCGAGACACTTTTTAAAATAGTTTAAAAAAAACTTCAGAAATTGTCTTCACAAATCTAACTTTATGGCTTATACTGAGGTGACGCATTTCAGCCAGAAATAAACTAACCCTGTCGTCCATTAAGTATCTCTGGGTACAATAGACAAACAATATCCCAAAGAAAATTAACCTTCGAGTAAAGCTTTACAAAAACAATTCCCTCATTCAAATTTCTTTGGTGTTAGCAATTTGTCTATTTCTATGTTACCCGGTTACAGTATGAATGGATACTGATACCTACAAAAAAGATTTTCCTCTTACATTATATGTTAGCATCTGGATTATTTTGCAAAATTAAAAATGTTTAGGTTACCTGTTCCTTCAATTATAAGTAACTGCAGATGTTTCGCGCTGCTAAGAGCACATCTTCAGGTTAAGAATGTTAAAAACATGGAAAAGTAAACTGTTTTAGCTTTCTTAACCTGAAGATGTGCTTTTAGCAGCACGAAACAACTGCAGTTATTTACAACACAACAAGGTTTGATTGATGCAACAGGTATTCTAAACATTCTTAATACTTTCCTCGTGGAAGCGTAGAAGTAGTAGAAGTGTGAAAGCAAGTTGTTTTTTACAATCATTTGTAAAAATGGATTGTATTCGATTGGCTGGTGTTCCTTTTTTCTCATTAGATTATCACAGTTTTCTTCATCCTAGAAAAATGTCATAAAAATGAACATGTTGTACAATTCCTCGTATAGCTTTAATACGATTGATCGACAAAACAAATTATTTTTACTAGTTTATTTGGTTTCACTAAAAATCACCAAATTTCCGACATCGTTTGGATGTACTCAATAGCCATCCCACAACAAAAAGCACGCTATACCATCAAACAATAGTTCGAACAGGACCCAATCACCAGGTCTAATATAGAAGCCACAGAAATGACGAGAATTGACTATGATGACAATGACTAGTCACATGAAAACACCTCACAGCTTTGAACTGGAAATTAATGGGAAACTGTGCAAATAAGATTCGTTTATTGTTATGCATCCTTGATCACATCAAGGATGAATAGGTACTTTGATAAAAGTCGTATTTGAAATTTTTAAATTACCAATCAATCCCAACTCAACATTGTACTTATGAAATATGCAGTAGTTATAAATAACTAACACGTAAACTGGAACCCCTGTACATTCTAAGCATTTCTACGCAATAACAGAACATGCTCTAATACTTTAGTTTATGGTAATAGTTTCTTTTTCTTCCATTTCTTACCTCAACCTTTCATAATACAGCCTTTAGTCATCAACATGCAATTATTAAACGTAAA